AAAGTACCACATGGGCTTTTTTCTAAATTGACATTTCAACATTTGTCCACAAGAGATTGTCAGTCAAATTAAAGTAGATTAAAACGGAGCTAGAGCAGCTCTCTTCACATTAGCATTGTCTATCTCGCTATCTATTAGAGCCGGCAATGCTTACTTCCTTGACTCACTGGGGGGCCTTAGAGCGACACATAAATTTTCTTATATGTATAAGGAAGAAATTGAGTGTGGTTCTTATGGAGTTATACAATGTATTTATACACACCCTAAATGACAACGTAGTGATCACATGCCAACTAAGGGCGTAATTGACGAACACATGTCTGAGGAGGTTTCGAGGTTGCATGCAAGAGGACCCTCTACAGTTATGATTTTGATGATGAGACGTTTGCTTTTTATTTGAGCGATTTACTTTTCCACTTCGCTTTTACATCAGACCAACACGTTGGCACCAATGGTCTTTTAACAAATCGACCTTGTACATCCGTTAGCAGATTGCATGGATCGCTGTCTGGGCCTACGACCCATATGTCCTAGACTATGTTTTAAGGCCCAAAACAAAATTTAATCCCAAAATAGGTGGTTTTAAATGATGTATATCATAAGAATGTGAAGCCACGATACAATTCACCAATAAGTTGAAAATATTATTTATTTTGTCCATCCAATACGACTATTTAAAAAATTCAAATTGATGTTTTTGAACAAGGTCAAGGACATATCATCATATGTTTGGAATACCATGAATTTTCTCATTCCTTCATCTAAAAAAATTCTTTTTCATATTTCTTTTGATGTAACATAAGAAACACGAGAAATGAAATAGATTGGAATTGGACACACCTTTTCTTTTTTTTTTTTTCCGAAACGACAGATTATATTATAAATCAAAATGCACAAATGTGCGAATACACAGCAGCCAACGACTGAATATACAGCAGTCAACAACTGAAAAAGTGGGAGGACAGGTCAGAAAACCGCCTAGAGTCCCGCTAGCAACGCTAGAATAAAACTCGCAACTAAACTAATCAACTAAAACAACAAACAACAACTAAAAGGACCCCAACGGAGTAATACCCGAGTATTGGATCCCATTGGGATAATAAGGTGACACTCGGGTTCACAGGGGCCAACGGCCCAGACCAAAAACACAATCATAAAACAGAAAAATCAAACTACAAAACAAACACTGAAAACACAATAAAAAAAAACACACGAGCCCTTCCTGTACAACAAATCCTATCCTGACTAGCAGCCACCAAATCAACCTAGGGGAATCCCATGGCAAAAGAAAGCAACCCCTCCACTGCCAAACTGCCTAGCTGAGTTGAAACTCCTGCCATGAATCCACCCAAAGCCAATTCTTCCAAACGCCATAAAACATCCCGAAAGCTCCCAACACCGCCAAAACAAACAGTGCGCCCCGGAACCCAACCCCAGAGAACCGGAAAAAAAGAGCTGGCTTGACGCCGCAACCCCCGCTCTAATTTCTCAAAAACACGAAGATACCTGAGCCGCACAAGAACCCGTCCCCACGAACCGCAGGCGCCAAACCCTGCCTCTCCACCCGAGCCGCAGCCACTTGACTCCGTCAACACAATGGAGGGACAGAGAAAGCAGGAAGCACAGCTAATCGCAGACAAAGGAGAACCGAGACAAGATCGGCGAGAGAAAGAAATTTACCCTCAATTAAGAGCGCGCCTTCTTCTATCACCCAGCCGCCGGCGAAACAGAACATTGCAGACCAACCGAACCCCCTAACACACTCCGGCAACCAGAAAAACGAACCAAAACGTTCATCCAACCATCGAAAGCGGTTACGAAGAGATGCTAGTCCGAGAAGCCCAAGACGCTCCGACCCGAGAAATTGAAAAGCCAGAGCCGCACTCGACCCTAACCCACGGCACCACAGCCATAGACCCTCCACGGCATCGAAAGCCCTGCACCCACAAACCCTAACCCACCTTCCAAAAAAAGCGAATTTGAATCGGCAGCCACAAGAACCTTCGACTTTCGTGAGCGGCGAAGGCACAGCACCTGGGAGGGCCGGGTGGCGTAGGAACGACCACCGGTTAGGCTAGAAGCCGCGAGGAAGGCGACGATTTCCGATTTTCAGCGGCGAAGGAGGAAGAAGATTTGGGGACCGAGAGATAGAGAGAGAAGTTTGGACACACCATGACTTAGCCGATAAATAGATTGTAACATAAAAACCATGAGAATTTCTCACATTTCTCTTGGTGCTCAAGTGATTGAAAAAACTAAATTCGACTGGTGCTCAGGAATTCCGAATTATTTATTTATTTAAAAAAAATAACTGGAGAAAAATAATAAAAAGAACGAGTGAAAAAAAATAAAAAGGACATATTGTATAAATCCGTTTTTTCCTAAAAACGAATTTTTTGAATACGTTTTTTTAAGTAAAACGTATTAAATTTATCCGTTTTACTAGAAAATAATTAATTAACATAATTAATGTAATTAAGTTAATTACATTAAATAAAATACGTATTATTTTAATACGTTTTATAATTAAAATTACTTTATTAATTATAAAACGAATTATTTTTATACATTTTTAAAAAAATTAATTTTAATAATAATTTTAATTATAAAACGGATTATTTTTATACGTTTTTCAAAAAAAATTAATTTTGAAATTATTAAAAATAAATTTTCGGCGGAAAATTATTTAAAACGGATTCTATGAATACGTTTTTCCCCCAAAAATTGATTTTGCGCTAATTTTGACCTAATTTTGACCTAATTCTTCATTAAAGTATTCTATGAATCCATTTTTCTCTGCAGAAAAATGCAAAATATTTTTTTCGATCCATTTCACAACCTGTTCAACAAATCACAACCTGTTCAAGCAACTAATATGAATCAATTCGCCCAAAATAATCCAACATACAGTATATACAAAAACTCAACGACAATAATTTATTCAAAACACAAATATGAGTATACAAAATGAAAAGAAAATTAACACATATGTTCACAAAATTCCTTGAATACAATACAAACTAATTCGGAGTGTATCGATTCGTAGGATTGCGTTGTCGTTGGCTGATCCGACGTTGTGGTCGTAGTGAAGAAGATGATGCTATGGGCGTGACTGGTTCTTCTTCTTCTTGTTCTTCTTCACCTAAATAAATAATTCTTTTAAAAATCACAATAACAATAACTAAATAAATAAAATAAGTAAAATTATTTTTTTGTTAAGTTAAAAATTTTTACCTTCTTCCTCTTCCTGAGGCCCGGTATCAGCAGCGGGTTGGCGGTCGCGTCGTCTTCTACCTCCACCAATGTTGGCAGAATAATAATAATAATAATAATAATAATAATAATAATAATAATAATAATAATAATAATAATAATAATAATAGAATAAAAAACATAAATATATATTACTTACGTCGCACTTCCCCTGCTCGGCAAGTGGGCGAAAGCCTCTGTCCGGTTGGGCCACCGCGTACTTGGCAGGGTCACCGAGTAGTCTCACAGTGATACTGTGAAACCAATCAAGGTAACCCGCCTCAGGGTTAATGAATGACTCCACAGGGAATGTTGGGATGACATTTTCGTCTTTATGTTCGACCCAAGCATTCCCAAGCTCTCCGTGAAAGGTCACCCAGTCAAAAATTGCCCTCCCGGTCATTCCCTGGCCTCGATGGTGTCTCTGATATTCGGTCTCAGTCGGAATGATAGGAGGTTCGGGGGTGGACTGCCGACACCCGAACTGATGGAGGACCCTATCAGGCATGTGGACTTCACGGACGTTCCAGTTGAAGATCCACCCCCTATACATCCAGAGGTGTGAACCTTCTGTACACTGGGCCGGGAGAGCATTCCCTTGCAGGTGCCACTGATAGGGTAGCCATTCGAACTGAAAAATAAATAATAAAAAAAATTAATTAGGAATTAAGTTATAAAAAAATTAAAACCAACAACAAATAAAAATAATAATAATAATAATAATCTTACATCCGTCTCTGTGAGCCCGGTCAGTTGATCCCGGGTGGCGGCTGTTCCCTTGGCCAGGTGTGTTGTGCTCCTCCTTCCCACCCACCTTCAAAATAATAATAAAAAAAAAAAATTGTAATCACAAAATTTAATAGTGAAAATAATGTAAATATTAAATATAAATATATTTTTTTACCTTCCACCTAGGGGACAATCAGAGACTCTCTCAAAGTTCGTATCCCTCATTCTTGGGCGAATACGAGAGATACGTTCATATGCCCAAACCTACACATATCGACATATTCATTTGTTATTAGATATTAGTCTAAATTAGAAAAAAAAAATGAATTTTGAATTAACAAGAAAATAAATATACCTGAATCAGTTGGACACAGTTCTTGATCCACTTTTCCCCGGACTTGGCGCTCGTGCAGAGCGCTCTATACACTCCAGCCAGGACCGCCGAACCCCAGCTGTACGTCTTGATCGTATCGATGTCGTGCAAAAGCTGCAACCAGTAGAGGTTCACTCCATTGCCCCTATGGTCGGGAAAGAAGAAGCAACCGATGCACTAGAGTAGAAGGGCCTTCGCCCTCGACTCGTAGGTGAAGCAATTCTCTCCATTGGCTAGTTGTCGGTTGCACTCCTCTTCTAACGCATAGGCCTTCAAATACTGGCCTGTAATGGCCCAAGTGCTGGGGTCTTGAACAGGTTCCTCGGCATTCTGAGAGTGGTTTATATATGTT